GTATTGTTTCTATCCGTCTAATGACATCCCCTATATACCCTTAGTTATTTTTCCTATCTGTCTAATGGACATCTCCTATATATACTTAGGTATTGTTTCAATCCGTCTAATGGACAACCCCAATAACTTAGTTATTTTTCCTATCCGGCTAATGGACATCTCCTATATATATTTAGTTATTTTTCCTATCCGTCCAATGGACATCTCCTATATATATTTAGTTATTTTTCCTGTCTGTCTAATGGACATCCCCTTTATATTGTTAATTTTTTTTTCTAACCGTCTAATAGATATCCCCTATATATCCTTGGTTATTGTTTCTATCTGTCTAATTGCCATCCCCTATATATTCTTAGTTATTGGACATCTTCTATATATCCTTAGTTATTGTTTCTATCCGTCTAATGGACAACCCCTATATATACTTAGTTATTTTTCCTATCCACCTAATTTACATTCCCTATATATCCTTAGGTATTGTTCCTATCCGTCTAATGGATATCTCCTATATACACATAGTTATTTTTCCTGTCTATCTGATGGACATCTCCTATATACACTTAGTTATTATTTCTATCCGCATAATGGACATCTCCTATATCAACTTAGTTATTTTTCCTATCCGTCTAATGGACATCTCCTATATATCCTTAATTATTGTTTCTATCCGTCTAATGGACAACCCCTATATATACTTAGTTATTTTTCCTATCCGTCTTATGGACATCCCCTATATACACTTAGTTATTGTTTCTGTCCGTCTAATGGACATTCCATATGTAGCCTTAGTTATTGTTTCTATCCGCCTAAAGGACAACCCCTATATATACTTAGTTATTTTTCCTATCCGTCTAATGGACATCTCCTATATATCCTTAGTTATTGTTTCTAACCATCTAATGGACATCTCCTATATATACTTAGGTATTGTTCCTATCTGTCTAATGAACATCTCCTATATATATCCTTAGTTATTGTTTCTATAGGTCTAATGGACATCCTCAATACATCCTTTGTTGTTGTTCCTATCCGTCTAATGGACATCCCCTATATACACTTAGTTATTGTTTCTGTCCGTCTAATGGACATCTCATATGTAGCCTTAGTTATTGTTTCTATCCGCCTAATGGACATCCCCTATATATACTTTTTTATTTTTTCTATCCGTCTTATGGACATCTCCTATATATATTTAGTTATTTTTCCTATCCGTCCAATGGACATCTCCTATATATATTTAGTGTTATATATAATTAGTTATTGTTTCTAATCGTTTAATGGACATCCCCTATATATCTTTAGTTTTTGTTCCTATCATTCTATTTGACATCCCCTATATATCCTCAGTTATTGTCTCTATCCGTCTAATGGACATCCCCTTTATATTCTTAGTAATTGCTCCTATCCGTCTAATGGACATCCCCTATATATCCTTAGTTATTGTTTCTATCCGTCTAATGGACATCCCCTATATATCCTTAGTTATTGTTTCTATCCGTCTAATGGACAACCCATATATATACTTAGCTATTTTCCTATCCGTCTAATGGACATCTCCTGTTTCCACTTAGTTAGTGTTTCATCCGTCTAATGACATCCCCTATATATCCTTAGGTATTGTTTCAATCCGTCTAATGGACAACCCCTATAACTTAGTTATTCTTCCTATCCGTCTAATAGACATCCTCTATATATCCTTAGGTATTGTTTCTATCCGTCTAATGGACATCCCCTATATATCCTTAGTTATTGTTTCTATCCGTCTAATTGACATCCCATATTTATTCTTAGTTATTGTTCCTATCCGCCCAATGGACATCCCCCATATATCCTTAGTTATTGTTTCTATCCGTCTAATTGACATCCCATATATATCACTTAGTTATGTTTCCTATCCGTCTAATAGACATCCACCTATATATCCTTAGTTATTGTTCCTATCCGTCTAATGGACATCTCCTATATATACTTAGGTATTGTTCCTATCCGTCTAATGGACATCTCCTATATACACTTAGTTATTGTTCCTATCCGTCTAATGGACATCTCCTATATATATTTAGTTATTTTTCTTATCTGTCTAATGGACATCCTCTTTATATTGTTATTTTTTTTTCTAACCGTCTAATAGACATCCCCTATATATCCTTAGTTATTGTTCCTATCCGTCTAATGACATCCCCTATATATCCTTAGTTATTGTTCCTATCCGTCTAATTGACAACTCCTATATATACTTAGGTATTGTTTCAATCCGTCTAATGGACAACCCCAATAACTTAGTTATTTTTCCTATCCGTCTAATGGACATCTCCTATATACACTTAGTTATTGTTCCTATCCGTCTAATGGACATCTCCCTTATATTGTTATTTTTTTTTTATTTCTAACCGTCTAATTGACATCCCCTTCATATTCTTAGTTATTTTTCCTATCCGTCTAATGGACATCTCCCTATCCGTCTAATGGACATCCCCTATATATCCCTAGGTATTGTTCCTATCCGTCTAATGGACATCTATATATCCTTAGTTATTGTTCCTATCCGTCTAATGGACATCTCCTATATATACTTAGTTATTGTTCCTATCCGTCTAATGGACATCCCCTACATACATTTAGTTATTGTTTCTGTCCGTCTAATGGATATCCCATATGTAGCCTTAGTTATTGTTCCTATCCGTCTAATGGACATCTCCTATATATACTTAGTTATTGTTCCTATCCGTCTAATGGACATCTCCTTTATATACTTAGTTATTTTTCCTATCCGTCTAATGGACATCTCCTATATATCCTTAGTTAAGGTTCCTATCCTCCTAATGGACATCCCCTATATATACTTAGTTATTGTTCCTATCCGCCAAATGGACATCCCCTATATATACTTAGTTATTGTTCCTATCCGTCTAATGGACATCTCCTATATATACTTAGTTATTGTTCCTATCCGTCTAATGGATATCTCCTATATATATACTTATTGTTTCAATTTCCTATTTTCCTATCCGTCTAATGGACAACCCCTATATATCATTAGGTATTGTTCCTATCCGGCTAATGGACATCTCCTATATATATTTATGTTTTGTTTCTATCCGTCTAATTGATATCTCCTATATACACTTAGTTATTGTTCCTATCCGTCGAATTGACATCCCCTATATATCCCTAGGTATTGTTTCTATCCGTCTAATGACATCCCCTATATATCCTTAATTATTGCTCCTATCCGTGTAATGGATATCTCCTATATACACTTAGTTATTGTTTCTATCCGTCTAATGGACATCTCCTATTGTTCCTATCCGTCTAATGGACATCTCCCATATATCCTTAGTTATTGTTTCTAATCGTCTAATGGATACCCCCTATATATCTAATGTTATTGTCTCTATCCGCCTAATGGACATCCCCTATATATCTTTAGTTATTTTTCCTATCCGTCTAATAGACATCCCCTATATATCTCTGGTTATTGTTTCTATCCGTCTAATGGACATCTCCTATATATCCTTAGTTATTGTTTCTATCCGTCTAATTGCCGTCCTCTATATATTCTTAGTTATTGTTCCTATCAGTCTAATGGACATCTCCTATATATCCTTAGTTATTGTTTCTACCGTCTAATGGACAACCCCTATATATACTTAGTTATTGTTCCTATCCGTCTAATGGACATCTCCTATATATCCTTAGTTATTGTTTCTATCCGTCTAATGGACAACCCATATATATACTTAGCTATTTTCCTATCCGTCTAATAGACATCTATCCGTCTAATGGACAACCCCTATATATACTTAGTTATGTTTCCTATCCGTCTAATGGACATCTCCTATATATACTTAGTTATTGTTCCTATCCGCCTAATGGACATCCCCTATATATACTTAGTTATTTTTCCTATCCGTCTAATGGACATCTCCTTTATATACTTTGTTACTTTTCCTATCCATCTGATGGACATTCCCTATATAAGTTTCCTAAGTGTTGCGATGTATTTAGTACTTTTTTGTCTGTCCGTCTAATGTGACATATAATGGACATCTCCTTTATATACCCTATATATATTTATATCCATCTGATACATCCTAGTGTTTGTGTTTGTTAATGATAGGAATGGGTGTGTTGTCAAAGAGAAATTGTGGGTTAGAAGGTATATTTGTGTTAGAAATCAGGAGTACCGTATTTATTCCAATAAACGCCCCGTCTCTAATAAACGGCCCCCCCCCCACCTGTTTTCTCAGTAAATTTCAACAACTCAGGAGTCAGGTTACAAAGCTTACCTTTTAATAAATTTTAAATTCCTGGTATCCATGAACATGAACAAATGAATTTTGGTACAAGAAAATTACACTGTCACGACATGTACACAAGTAATATCAATTTAATCCACGGTTCATTTCAATATACACTTAGTTATTGTTTCTGTCCGTCTAATGGACATCCCATATGTAGCCTTAGTTATTGGTTCTATCCGCCTAACGGACAACCCCTATATATAATTAGTTATTTTTCCTATTCGCCTAATGGACAACCCCTATATATAATTAGTTATTTTTCCTATCCGTCCAATGGACATCTCCTATATATACTTAGTTATTGTTCCTATCCGCCTAATGGACAACCCCTATATATTCTTAGTTATTTTTCTATCCGCCTAATGAACATTTCCTATATATACTTAGTTATTGCTTCTTATAGACGTATCTTATATATCCTTTGTTTATTTCTATCCGTTCTGTGGGCATCTTCTACACCGATATCAGTTATTTTTTTTTCTCTGCTGTATATATACCTTCCGTCTGTGTTCTGTGGGCATTGATATCAGTTATTTTTTTTTCTCTGCTGTATAAAGTGACTTGCGTAAGTCTAACATAGGGATAATACATTGTATCAGGCCTATATATTCGATAAAGTGTTGTCGGTACCTATGCGCTTGTATCTAGTAGTTTGTCCATTAGACGTATTAGATTTGGTTACACGCTCCCCACGCGGTTTTTCTGAGTGTCGATTGGCTCTTTACGAACCGGTTCCTTCCTGCTTGCCGCCATCATTGCTTTCCACGCTGCATTCCGATTAATCCGTTGTTGCTCCACAATGTCTAACCCAAAGGTTTTCTTCGATGTGAGTGCTGGTGCCGCAGTTGGGAGAATCGTTATGGAGGTAAGTTGCAACATAGTCAGTATGGTAACGTTGCGGTAGGTATAATTTGAATGGTGTTCGTTCTTTTTTTGGTATCGCCAAATTATGAGCGGCCGTAGATCCAACATACCCATCCATTTCCATTTTTGTTATATTAGTAGCGGTCTCTTTGGTATCGAAATATTTAAGATTAAGAAAACGAGCAAACAGTTACCAAGTCAGAAATTAAGTAGTATTTTGTTAACTAATTGCATGCATTTGTAATTGCTCGAAGCGGCTGATGTATCTGCAGCCGAGTTGGTCCGTGATAGAATAGTAGGCAACGTGCTTTAGTTTTCTTATTAAAGGCTTTTATTCTATAGTTCGACGGCGAATTGGATCAAACTAAGAAAGGCAGACAATATTACATCATGGTGTATGGAGACACTCAGAAATAAATATGATAAAATACATCGGAAGCGAAACAAAGTAAATTTCTCATCACACATAAACAAGGGGCATAACTGATCATTACAACGAACAACTCAGTGAACCGTTTTGAATGGAATCACTACATATTAACAACATATATGATGAAATGAGCTCCAAAGATTCTCCCATCTTAATTCGTGTATATAAATAGTCTGTTTTCATACCAATATGAGGCTTCCTACCATATTCATAAAAGCCAGATCAATAGAAATGATGTACAATTATGATTTATATGCATTTACATGAAAATCCCTTTAGTTTAAATCAATTTTATTGCGAACAAAATACAACAGGACTGGACAAAAGTTACTTATGTCCTTTCTGTAATAAATGAAAACATATAAATTAAGAGTCACACAATAGCCTAAGAATGTTTCATATTTTTTGGTTAAAGATAGGCTTAGAAAATGAGAAAAAGAAAATAAAATTGGGGTAAGGGGTGGGGAGGGAGGGGAAGGGGGCATCGACGAGTAATTCTGTGGATATGGTGACTCTCGTTTCCTTATCCAGTTGGCAAAGAAGTGACTCTTTACTGTACACAAATTGCATTCTACTTATCTAAAATGTTCAGTCACATCCCATGCTTTAGTTGTAGTTCTCCTGGACCACTCCTTGTCCTTCTACGATACCGTAGTCTACCTGTTTTGCAGACAAGATTAGGAAACCACAGCCTTGATCTTAGTATATGGTTTTGGTAAAATATGAATATTGAAGAAGTATGTATTAAAGAAACGTTATGATAATAAAACAATACCCGTCGGTGTTGGGAAGAAAGGATGAAACTGGATGAATGGAAGGGGTAGTATAGACATACTAGGTGTCCTGGTTATCGCTGATTTAATGTTAAAACATTTAGAACTAGAAATAAATGATTGTACAGACCTACAGATGACAATATTTTTATCAGTATCGAGATTTTCGTCCCCAAATAGAAGGTGTTCTTTTTTTATAATAAATATTGGTAATCCTGTAATTATGCGACCTGCTTCATACTGAATATTTTCTAATTTATTTGATAAAGTGGTATTGCAATTGTCCCAAACATTGCAGGCATATTCAAAAAGTGGTCTGATGAAAACAAGACATATTTTTTACTAAGTTTTTTCTGTTCAAGATGTACTTAAGTTTCCTAAGTGTTGCGATGTATTTAGTACTTTTTTGTCAAAATGTCATCAATGTGAGAGTACCATTATTATTTATAACTGCTCCTAAGTGTTTGTGTTTGTTAATGATAGGAATGGGTGTGTTGTCAAAGAGAAATTGTGGGTTTGTTTTCTCAGTAAATTTCAACAACTCAGGAGTCAGGTTACAAAGCTTACCTTTTAATAAATTTTAAATTCCTGGTATCCATGAACATGAACAAATGAATTTTGGTACAAGAAAATTACACTGTCACGACATGTACACAAGTAATATCAATTTAATCCACGGTTCATTTCAATATACTGCAGGCCTAACGGCCGGGACTGCCGTACAAACCACTGTCTTCAATTTCACTTTCGCCAGTCTCGCTTTCACTTGGTTCTATTTGTGGAATAGAAGGTGCGTTCACATCACCCATTAAATTTTGCAAAACGTCATCTGCAGCTTGGACATCCTCTTCACTAAACCCCTGGAATTCCTCATCGTCAGAATCATGCTGGAAAATATGATCCTCGCTACTGTCCAGCGAATTTGTGATACCACATTTTTTGAACGATCTTCTGATTGTGTCCGGGCTAATGCTATCTCATGCTGTCTTGACCCAAGACAACATTACAGCTTTAGATGGGGCTTTACGATTCCCTGCTTTGGTTTTCTCAATGTTGCCACTGAAACACCATTTGTCATACAACTCTCCAAGTTTTTGTTTGAAGGGTTTATTCCACGACACATCGGCTGGCTGTAGCTTACATGTACATCCCCCAGGTATAACACAGATGTCTGAATTATATTTTTGATGAACTAGTTTTTTTACATCTTCAGTAAGATGACCACTGAAAGTGTCCCATACTAATAACCGCCTAGCTGTATTATTCACACCCCAGAGTTTTCTTAACCAAAATTTTATACTTTCCTCGTTTGCCCAGGATTTTTGTCCGGCTTCGCACATGTATACCACAATACCACTTGGTATGTCATCTTTCGGAAGGGGACGAATGCCTGGCATGTGCACAAGAGGGGGCGATTTTAGTCCCATCGGCATATGCTGCCAGTGTTACCGTTATTTTTTGTTTTTCGTGTCCAGTACTGTAAATTCTGACCTCCTTTTCCCCCTTTATTGCCAATGTCGATTTTCCTGGCATGTCAAACCACACTGGGGTTTTGTCCATGTTAGGGATATGGCTATCGGGGTATTCTCGTAGCCGACACATTCTTAACACGAAATTCAAAAAACTGGCAATACGATTATCAATTAATGAAACTTCATGTTGTGCCACATGCGTAGATGGCCTGAACGAAATGTTATGTCTCTTTTTTTAATTTAGAAAACCATCCATATGAGGTTTTGGACGATTGACTACCATTTGCCTTATGCATACGCAGGGCCTCAAACCGCAATGCTTTTCCAGTCACTCGTATTCCGGCCTCCCGTCTGTCCTGTAGCCATCTCATCAGATTTTTGTCAATATCTTCATATCTGACATGCCTCCCACCTTTACAGCGTTTAGATGTTTTAGAAAGATTTTTTAATTTTTCTTTGTTTTGACACCAGTCCGGCACTCATTTTCTGTCAACACGAAACACTTTCGCGGTGGCATGTTTACCCTTCTCCTCTGCGAAGGTGATTACTTTAAGCTTGAAAGCAGTGTCGTAATTTCGTTTTGTCCCAGACATTGTTATCAGGTATGTGGGATTTATTTAGATACAGACTGGCTTATATACCGCTGTGTTTTTTTTATTTTGTTATGCAAACTAGGCCTACAAGCGATGATGAACATTGTACGTTTTTGACTGAAGCTGACACGATTGACATTGTGTCATTTCATACAAGAATTCAGGTTATCATAATGCAATTGACAACAATGTTTAAAGCTACAACGATGTTGGAACTACTGCAATTTTCAAATGCATTCTTTGCTGAGTAATTCGTTAGTTTGTTAAACAATGTTTTAAGTGGCAGCCATGGCATGTCACGACCAACAAGTTATGAAATTTTGTGTTCTAATAATCGCCCCGTCTGAAACATTTCACGCCCCGGGGCGTTTATTGGAATAAATATGGTATTTCAGTTTTAGTTGGATTGAAGCCAGGGCTCGCATTGGCGAAAGTGAAATGAGATTGGCGATTTCAAATTTCTATTGGTGAAAATGCCGATTACAGACATTTCCAGTCACCGATGACTGTACAGAGAAAAATCACTGGCGTTTAACTTATTTGTAACGAGTGACACAGGTAAATTTTGCTCCGACATCGTTGTGTACTACACGGTCACGGTTGACTGACTCACGCAGCTGGGGCAAGGTCAGCTATCGGAACTCTTTTGTGTTTTGACAGAAACATTTACCTGTCTAAACAGCAACATGCCTGAAATGAAAATCGCCAATTATCCAATGATGTCTCCATTGTCTCAATCCGGGATAGCCTCTGCCGTGATCAATAAGGTAAGTTAGCTGAAGGAAAGATGTTGTTTTATCGGGAATGGGCTTATGGTAGGTGGATCATTAGGTGTGTCGATGTCGTTAATTGGGCACGAGTTTGTGATTTCTGCAGACATAACTTAGTAAACTAGTGTATTTGAAAGGGCCCGAAATGGGCTTCTTAATCTTTTTGATCGACAATCAAAATAGCAAGAAACACAAGATATAATTTCGTTGTTTTTACACTATGTTGCCGATTTTGTTTTATATTTTTGTACATATTTTGGTCACATCAGATTTGGCCCTTCACTGAGATAGATCGTTAGATGAAATGGGAAAACGTAAACTCCCCTTTAGTGATAGGGATGGGAAAGTACCCAGATTGTCATCATTTGGTTTTAAGACACCATCTATTGAAAAGGAAAATGATAGTCCTGATCAGGTTACTAACAGGGGCAGTAGTTCAAGAAAGTTTCTAGATAGTTGGAAAATTGGCAGGCCATGGCTAAAATATAACCTAGAGCAAAAGCTCATGTTTTGTGACATATGTATTAAGGCATTAGTTAGAAATAGTTTCACTGATGGCTGCAGTATCATGAAGAAGAAGTGCTTGGTTAAGCATGAGAAAGGATCAGTATATACAACTATTCATCATTTATGAACAGAAAATTATGTAAATTTAGATTAAGTAATTCAGAAATACTATACAGCCTGGAGGATGGTACAATGTAGTTATTCATTACAGCCTGCTTGGCACATGAATTAGAAACTCAATCTTTTAGTTTAACGATTATGTCTTTATTATCTCTGAAGTGTTTTTAAGAGATATATTACTTAGGAAGTTACTGTAATAAGTATAATACTTTGATGGTGTAAAATAAGGTTCAATGTAATCCTGTATCTCTCTGCAAATGTCCAATTCTATTCTAAATTTTATTTTCAATTTCACAGATGAGAACTCTCACTCTGCTGCTTTGGCAACACAACAGC